TATAGCAGATACACATCTGTTGCTGAGAACAGACTAAGCAATTGTAGGTGTAACAGTGGTTGCTGTACCTAGCAAAGTGTGTTGAAGATGAATTTGAGACTATTAATATGGTTTTGTTTTCTTACATGCATAAGAAGCTTCTCAAAAGTTTTTGCAAAGCACACATGATTCCAGTTAATTCTCACAATAGCTCTGTGAGATCAAGAAAACACGTTATCTCTATTTTCATAGGAGGAAACTGGTACAGAAAGGGTAAGTGACTACCCTGAAGCCACATAGTCACTTTGTGTCATAATTTGGACTAGCATTTCCAGTTTTTCTCAGACTATCAAAAATATTCAAAGTAATGTGTTGTTGTTGTTGTGAAGTGCTGTTGAGTTGGTTCTGACTCACAGCTACCCTGTGTAGGGCGTTTGAGGAGCAACTGGTGGGTTTGAACTGCCGACCTTGTGGCTCTCAGTCCAGTGCTGATTCTACAGTGCCACACCAGGAATCCAGAAGAGTACTTTAGAAACAATAATTTTGGTGTTTGATATAAACCAATCACTACTGGGCTCCATGTGAATGGAGAGCTTGTTAAAACATAGATATCTTGGCTCCAGCTCCACAGTTTTTAAATCGGCAGGTTTGGAATGCCTGAGAATATGCATTTCTAACAAACATATAGGTAATGCTGCTGCTGGTCTGTGGACCACAGTTGGTACAGAATTGTTGTTGTTGTTAAGTGCTGTTGTTGTTGTTGTTAGGTACCATTAAGTTGATTCCAACACATAGCTATCCTATGTGACAGAGTAGAACTGCCCCAAAACCTTTTCTTGGCTGTGATCCTTATGGGAACAGATCACCAGGTCTGCTCCTGTGAAGTCATTGGGTGATTTTAAACTGCCAACCTTTTGATTAGCAACTGAGTGTTTAATTCAGTTTGTGCTACAAGCTTCGTAATTCCAAAGTAGCCTACCTTCTCCCAACTTACTGTCATGGCTAGGTCCCAATGACCAGGTCAGTATGTGAACATGGAGGATGACTACATTGTTGCCTGAAGGCCATATTATAGCATTACCTAACTGCCGAACCACAGAGAATCATGGCCAAGCCAAGTAGACATATCACCTTAGTCCTCACAGCCAGTGTTACTCTTGCCTTGCACACCAATAATTGCTACTGTCAGATGACATGATTAATGTGAAAGAGTGTCAGATAATAATTTTTTTAACTATTGTCATAAATGTGAAATGCTGGAAAACCAGCAATAGTCAATAAGTGAGGAATTGTTGTGAAGTGCCGTCGAGTCAGTTCCGACTCATAGCGATCCTGTATAGGATTTCCAAGGAGCAGCTGGTAAGTTTGAACCGCTGACTTTATGATTCAAACTGACCCTGAGATCGAGTGTTTATCCTACTTGAGGACTCCATAAGTGAAGAGTTAGGTATATTTTAAAGTTTGGTTTGACACAATTAAGATCACAACTCCAGGGGTAATACATTTACAGATCTCATAATAACATTGCCATTACTAATGAGAACCCTTCCATTGGGTACATATTTGGAACATTGTAGATCTATGGTCCTTTCCCAAATGATCTGAATATATTTTAGGGATTGAACTTTTATGTGATATAAGCCAAAGGAGCTCTGATAGCGTAGTAGTTATGAATCAGGCTGCTAATCTCACGGTCAGCAGTTCGAAACTACCAGCTGTACCACAGTAGAAAGATGAGGCTTTCTGCTCCCGTAAAGATTTACAGCCTCGGAAACCCTGTACAGGGTTGCTATGAGTTGGAACTGACTCCACGGCACATAACAACAACAACAATAACATAAGTCAAGTAAGATTGTTGTAATTATTCCAAAAAATTCAAATTTACATATATATATTTCCCCCCCCATCAAATTACCAACATAATAATAATTATTCCCAAAGCCCAATAAGAAAAAAAATTAATCACTGTTCTAGTTTCCGTGATGTGGCTCATTATGGTCAGAGTAAAGCAAAGTACATTTTATATGGCCTACCTTTGGATTTAATTACTTGCTATAAAATGATCTGAGTCAAAGCCAATTTGCCATTTACAACCAGGAAGCTCTAGGGACCTTTCAGAAGAGCTGTTCATCCAAGGGACTTCACTCCCTCATCAGAGTTGTGGTGTGACACTGTGGGAAAAGCACTGGATTGTTAACTGCAAGGTTGAAGGTTCAAACCTACCAGCTGCTCCTTGGAAATCCTATACAGGGTCACTATGAGTTGGAACTGACTCAATGGTACTTAACAACAACAACGATTCTCTCTCTGCTTTTATTTATCAAGTATCAATGGTTGAGTCTTCAAACAGCACAGGGTTCAGATAGATGGTAGGAAAATAGAAAGCTGAAAACATCCAATAGTTCTTAAATGAACCCAAATAAGAACTACACTTTGCAGTTCTTTCTTTCTTTTCTTTTTAAATTGGTAGTACATGCGTATGGTAAAAACATTGAAAAAAGCCCCAAATGATATCATATACAGCAATGGTGAATGGTCTAGCCAGTGGCTCTGTCTCCAGGTGCAAATTCTTGAGGAAACCCCTATTGGATTCACTAGCACTCTTTCAGAGATGGTGATGGAGACTCAGGTGCTGAGTTTGCATTGGCTTATATACCACAAAGAAAGGCAAAAAGGACATAATTGCTCTAGCATGGACTTTTTACATGATCAGGGTTCCTACTGTTGATCCTGGTGTGGCACTGTAGGTTAAGCACTGGACTGCAGGGTCATTTAAACTGCAAGGTTGGTGGTTCAAACTCACTAGCTACTCCTTGAAAAGCCTAGATAGGGATGCTATGAGTCAGAAAAGACTCAATGGCATGTAACCACAACACTATTGATCTGAATGTGTGACAACCTGCCTGAAACACACAGAAATCATATTTATAGAAATATGTCATAATTTGCTAAACAAATTAATTTCATTGTGAGGATTTTGAAGGTGTCTTGGTGGTGCAGTGGTTAAATACTTGGCTGCTAATAGAAAGGTTGAGTGAACCCACTAACTGCTCAGTGGGAGAAAGATATGGCAGTCTGGTTCTGCAAAAGTCGCAGCCTTGGGAACTCTATGGAGCAGTTCTATTCTGTCTTAAAGGGTTAGTAGTCACTATAAGATGGCACTGACTTGATGGCAATATCATCACTGGACTGTGAACTACAAGGTCAGCAGTTCAAACCCACCAACCACTCCTTGGAAACCCTGTACAGGGTCACTATAAGTTGGAACTGACTTGACAGCACTTAACAGTAACAACAACTTAAAGATACTTGGAAGGATATTTGGTTGCTATGGGACATGGTGACAGAGTGGCGGTTCCATAGGATTAGCACTAGATCATGAACCACTAGGTCAGCAATTCGAGCCCATCAGCTACTCAGTGGGAGAAAGATGAAGCTTTTGGCCCCCACAAAGGTTACAACCTCTGAAACCTTCTCAGTGACACTCAACAACAACAACATAAGGATATAGGCGAGAAGAAAAGGAATACAACTGAAAATTCTTCAGAAAGGAATTTTTCTGTAAGAGTAAATTCTTCAGAACTTCATCTAGTTCAATAGTTTTACTTGGAATTTCTTTGAGGACCACATTTGGCCAGGGATACTTTTAGACAACACCACAAAACAAAGTTACAATGATCATTTAGTGATCAGAGGAAGTACAATTTTAGCTCTAGCACTTACTAGGTTTGAAGCCTTGGAGTCAATTTATTTATCCCTTGTGAACCTCAGTATCAATAAAATTAGTATTATAATAAACGTTGTTGTTGTTACCGGCAGTCAAGTCAGTTCCAACTCTTAGCAGCCCTGTATAGGGTATGAGTAACATCTGCATTCCAGTGCTTATCCTACAGCGCCACATAGTTCATAGAATTGGGGTGTGAATTAGTATACAAATGTAGATGATGCTCTACAACACCATTGTCTTTAGGGAATAGTTGATTGTATTCGATATCTTTGTATTGTATTTGTTTGACAAATATAGAATCATGAATATGAAAGTGTTTTGAAACTATTTAAGGGTTAGTTAAATTGGAAGTATGCCTATTTATATGAGCTTTAACAAAACCACTACCATTGAGTCCATTTTGAATTTTGAGATCCTATAAGGACAGAGTAGAACTGCCCCACAGGGTTTACCAAACTGAATCTTTGTGGGAACAGACTGCCTTGTCATTCTCCTACACAGCTGCTGGTGGATTTGAACTTCTGATCTTTCAGTTAGCATATCTACCAGGGTTCCTCATGAACTTAAATAGTTGTTAAGTGAAGTTAAGTCAATTCTGACTCAGTGACCCTGTATAACATTTCTGAGGAGTGGCTGTTGGTTTTGAACTGCCAACCTTGAGATTAGCAGTCCAATATTTATCCTAAAGTGCCATACCTGGACTCCATGAACTTAAATTTGTTGTTGTTGTTGTTGTTATGTGTCGATAAGTCAGTTCTGGCTCATAGTGACCCTGTAGAGCATTTCTGAGGAGCAACTGGTGGATTTGAACTGCTGACCTGTGGTTCAAACTGACCTTATAGTCCAGTGCTTATCCTACAATGTCATACCAGGAATCTATACACTTGCAATATTATCTGATTTAATGTTCTGATTTAAAATGATCATTATTATTATTGAAAGATAGTCATTTTGAGTTTTCTTCTTCTTCCTTATCTAGTATGATTGATCATAGTCTCAATTCCAGATACATGCAATAGAGATTGGATGCTCCAAAATATGACATATGGAACTGTGCTAGTAGGGAAGCAACGTAATGAAAGGAGCCTTCCTAGCTCTCCTGAGACCACAGCTGTTTGGCTATGTCAGAATGTTCCAATGTATGATTCTCATGTGAAAGACTTGGATGACATCTTGTTTTCCTTTGCTACATGCTATATGCTGTATCTATCTATAGATCTATATAAAGTTTATATATATATATATATATGCTACTATAACTTTAATTGTAATATATCCATTTGTATATTTCCAGGCTTCTAACCCTGGACAGTTTGAAAATGACAGTGATGCATTATGGCAGCGAGGACATGTTCCAGAATCTGTTGTCTGTCGTGGCAGAGTAGGAGTAAATACAGAGACACCGGACGAAGCTCTGGTTGTCTGTGGCAACGTGAAAGTGATGGGGACAATCATGCATCCTTCTGACAGCCGGGCGAAGCAGAATATCCAGGAGGTGAGCACATGGCAGGCCTTGGACACCTCCTGACACCTCAGTCTGGTGTGCTGGGCACCTCTGGTCTGCCTGCACAAGGCATCTTGACATGCCACTTGTTGGTACAAGATCAACACTTTGCTCAAAAATGATGACTGTATGACTGTAAAATCTGTTAGGCATTTCTGCTGAAACTATAAAGCTGGTCATATCCAAGAGAATGGATCTACATGACAGAAGCAGTGGACAATGGCAGAGTATCATTCCCTCCTCTAGCAGGAAGCCTCAGTTATTTCCCCAGGTCATTGCCCTCCCTTCCATGCCTTGTCAACTGCCAGAGCTGCCTTTTCCTTTCCATCTCCCTGTTCACCTGTTCATCTTCCGAATAGTGTCTCAGTCTAGTTATTGTTCATATTTCTTTTGGACCTCTCTAGCCTCTTCTTTCCAGAGTCCCTAATTCTAGCCCTATCAGACATGGCCTTCCACATTCTTTATCTTCTTCTGACAAGTTCAATAACTTTGTCTCCTCAGAACTTACTGGGTCAGTCCCCCAAGGGTCCTGAATCAAGACTTTTTCTCTCTGTGGAGAGGCAGTGTCCCCTGGCCTAGGAAGCAGCAAACTGCTCCTCCACTCTGGGCTTTTCTGCATTGTGACCCTGGATAAACTGTCTTGTTGTTATTGTTGTGTGCCGTCAAGTTGGTTCCGACCCTTAGCGACCCTGTATATGGTTTCTAAGGAGCGGCTGGTGAGCTTGAATCACCGACCTTGCAATTCAAACTAACTTTACAGTCGAACGCATTAACCCACAGCACCACACCAGGACTCCAATTCCACCAAAATTCAGTATCTTCATCTATAAAATGAAAATGGTGCCTGTCTGCCCAGCTCTCCTTAGTCTTTCCCACCCCCCTAACCAGTTGAGATAATAAAAGCATGGATAGTGTTGGAGAGTTACAACTGCTATGTAGACCTAGTGGATTGGGATTAAGAGTCTAATCCTTTAGCCAGGCTGCTCCTGGTGACAATCTTTCCTTCACTGAATCCTGTTGCCTATTTACTGTGTCTGCCACCTCCCTACCTTCCCATTCACACTACTTGTCCCTTAATGATTTTTAAGGTTGTGGCAGACTGGAGGTTTAAAAGCCTCCTTTCTCTTCCTTTCCTTTCCTTTTTTGACCTAATCTGGTAGTCATTCAGACTACATTCCCTTCTCAGTGCAAATCTGCCTGGGTTTTTTCTAAACCAGCCAAGGAATGTGCTCTGCTGAGAGAATTCTAAAGAATGGTTGTAATTGTAGACTTTCATACTGACTGGGAAGCTGCAGTTCACGTTAGAGGCTGTGACCTACTAGCAGGATGGGAACTCTTAGGGCTAGAAAGTTCTCACACACGTTTCCAGATGTCTGCCCTAGATAGTGCAGCTTTAACTGTAGAGACAGATAAATTGTCTGCATTTCAGATCATGTCAATTCAAACGTATCCTGAAAGTTGGCTATACAATTTCCTACTGAGTTTTATATAAATATAAATGTAATATGACAGCAGAGGGAAATCCCCCACAACTTCCCCTGTCCCCACCACGCTTTCTATACAACTTGATTTGCCAGGCGTTTTTAAACGTTGTCCTTTGGTTTGAAAGAAAGAAAGAAAAAACCTATTAAAAGAAATAACTTTCTTAAAATAACAAGCTTCCCTGTTGTTGTTGTTAAGTACCATCGAGTCAGTTCTGACTCATAGTGACACTGTGTAGAGTTTCCAAGGAGGAGCTGGTAGATTTGAATCACCAACCTTGTGGTTAGCAGTCCAATGCTTATCCTACAGCACCACACCAGGACTTCCACAAGCTTCCTTAGAATAGTTCACACTTCTTCTAGGATGCCTTCTCCTTAGAAACAAAGTGCCACCCCAGCCCACGCTCTGAATCAGAAATCCCTATACCGCCTCCCTGCTCACAACAGTATCACTAAAGACTATAGGGAGTCTTGGTCCATGCCAGAAGACTGGTATTTTCGTCTTGGCTCTGGCAATCACTAGGTTCCTTGGATGGCACGTATGGTTAATAGCTTAACTAATAACCAAAAGGTTAGCAGTTCCAATCCATTCAGGGGCAATTCAGAATAAAGGCCAAGTGATGTGCTTTCCAAATGTCACAGGCTTGAAAACCCCGTGGAAAGGTTCTACTTCACACACATGAGGTTGTCATAAGTCAGAACACACTCAATAATGGTCAACAACAACTGACAATCAAACAACACAGTAACTTTGACCCAGAGACACTATATTTTCTTGTCTGTAAACAGGAAATGCTTGTATTCACCTGACCTATGTCAAAGACTTTTTCTTAAAAGAGATCATGTTCCTCTAGCAAACGAGAGGCCTACAGACACTACTGGCATGTTTCCTCTGTGAGGCAGGTCTTGAATAAATGTTCTAGAAATGTTGGACATGGAGCAACATGAGTGTTAGGGTCATTTGCATTCATGGACAACACTTTCCCAAACAGCTGTGGGAAGCTTTTA